TCTCTCTCTCTCTCTCTCTCGCTCGTGATCTCTCTCTCTCTCTCTCTCGCTCGTGATCTCTTTCTCTCTCTCTCTCGCTCGTGATCTCTCTCTCTCTCTCTCTCTCTCTCTTTCTGCATGTCTATCCATCTCTCCCCCTCTCTCGCTCGCTCGTTCGCTCTCCGTTTCCCACCTCTATGTCGCTCACTCGCCCTCGCACTCTCTGTCTCTTGCTCTCTCCCCTCTCTCATCTTCTCTAATATGGTCACCTTATACAAGTAGCCGGTCAAGATACTCTACAAGGCCCAGCCGAGTTACGAACAAGATGGTTCTAAACTTTCGTTTGTAACTACATTCTGCGAATATCCTAGTCCAAATTAATACACAACAATCTAGTACCTGCAACATACCGCTAATGCTAGAAAACACCAGCAGATTCATAACATAGATTCATAACATATGTGTGCTATAGTATAATAAATAATACCTACATTAAAAATAAACTTTTTGGTATGCTCAGCTGGCGAGCGTTGCCTCGAAAACATGTTGATTCTCCGAGTCCTTTAGCGACGTGATTGGCACTAGAAATTTGACGTGCACGAATTTAATATCTTGTTTATATGAACTTGGAAAACGAAAAGTGGAGAACTAATCAGGGTTGACTCGCATATAGATTCTCTGGAAATGTTGCCCAGGCTGACAGGTTAAAGAGATAATAAATACTGTTTTTGTATAATGCGCAATAATTAAATATAGGGCCTATATTATAAATGTTATATAAATATAATAACACGTACGTATATCTCTGTGCACCTCTTGCTATGTTCAACTGAGGACCGGTAACCACTCAGTCGTTGCACGACGCTGCCTCGAAAACGTGATAATTCTCCGTGTCCTCCAGTCTGGCGATTGACACTGAAAATAACTTTGATGCGCATATATCAATTCATTGTGTTTATTGAACAAATCACGAATAAAGACATATAGACTTTACCGTTAATTATACCCTATCGCTAAGTATTTAATACTATAACCACGCATCTTTATACAACTATAACGCATGAAAAGGGTACTTACAATTTAACTCAGTCAGGTATGTGTGTGTCATCCTGATTAATCCATTTCTATGCTGTAATTAAACGAATGAACGACATGAATTAAGTAAGAAGTTATAACAGATACGGAAGCTTTAGTTGAGCACGAATTCCTATATATTTATTTACTCACGTTAGCTGTAATTATGCGCATTAGAAGTTGTCGCAGCTTGAACCTATGACGACAAACACACAGCGAGAACATGGCGTGGACATTGCGGGCCACGTGTATACTGACCGTGATATATCTCGCGACAGAGAAGCCCGTCACGGCGTGACGAATGTCCAAGTGATTCATTTAGGGCCTATATATGCGCGCTTTATATGTTGAACATACTGGCAGGCTCTCTATCTCTCTCTATCTTTCTCTTTCTCTTTCTCTCTCTCTCTCTCTCTCTCTCTCTCTCTCTCTCTCTGGCTGTCTTTCCCTCGCTCTCGCTCTCTCTCCCCCCCCTCTCTCTCTCTCTCTCTCTCTCTCCCTCTCTATCTCTCTCTCTCTCTCTCTCTCTGACTGTCTCTCCTTCGCTCTCGCTCTTTGTATAATATGAGAACCAAGTTCATACTGTCAGTCGACATACTACATAAATCACTACTAAGTTACGAACAAAATTGGAAACAATCCTAAAGTTTCGTTCGCACACCAATTCTTCGAATGTCTGAATAAATCCAAATTCGAGTACGCTCACAAAAAACTCCCAACAGTCAGCATACGTTAGATAACACTATAACACACAATCTAGCACCGGCAACATATCAGTAATGCTAGAAAACACCAGCAGATTTATACCGTGTGTCTATATACCGTATCTATTGAACGCGAGAGATCTTTCGAGAGAGAAGCCCGTCACATCGTGACGAAACCCGATGTTAATCAGGTCAACGTTATATACATGTGGGTTAGGCCTATTCCATATATGCGCACTTTATAATTATTCCCCACACTAGATGTCGCTAGGATGTCAAAATTCAACATAGCATCAAAGCATCTCTTTGTGTTATTGGATGGTGGCGCCTCTAGCGGATCATTATATCTCCCCTGAAACCTATTAAATTCATACTCCGGCCAGCTACGGGCGCGAAATAATTTCCCATTGGCGGCCGTACATGCGAAAAAATTCCCATAAATCAGCAGAAGTATTTTTTAAGAAATCACAATGCCATCCTCGTTGCATTTACGTTGCAAGTGACACCGTATATGTTGAACCTCAAAACTCAGTTCTTTCTGCAAACAGGTTAAGAGCGCGTGATAGCGTAGCATTGGTTCATCGCACAGTATCGCATCTAGCATCGAGCGATTTAACAGCTCTCTCTACTCGTATCCTATTAATATCGTAATCATTACCCTGATCCCTGCCGTCAACGGCAGCTTTTTCATTATCGATCCCCCCCCCTCCTGGAATTTCTCGCTCTTTGTTAATCGGAATGAACATCGACGTCTCATGTAAGTGCGATCGCACAGGATGCGCGGCGTGTTTGTGGACGCACCCTGGTCTCAAACAACAACAAAATCTAACTGGAGGGAATGACGCGCTTTAGTGCAAAGAATTAGTTGATTTCAGCTTTAAGAATCGATGTGACAGGATGGGCGCGAGCCGATGGTAAAAGCGCATGCGATAGACGTGTGCGATGCTATCGTCACGTCTCGACTATCGTTGAACACGCGCACACGTGCAGGATATACTACGCTCGACGAATGACGAAAATAGCCGAGACTTAAACAGCGAGAACTATATATACTGTTCTACTGCTCTACTGCACTGTACTCTACTCTACTATATATACTGTTCTACTGCTCTACTGCACTGTACTCTACTCTACTCTATTGCTCTACTGCTCTAGTTTATTCTGCTCCCTACTCCACATGCGGAGATTCCCACCAACGCAACCAGTGATTCACTGCACTGTATTATCCTACCGCTTTACTCTTTACTGAAATATGTAGAGATTTCTTTACAAATTATTGTGGACATCTACATAACCGCCATCATATAAAAAGTACCTCGAAAACTTTAGTTAGAGTATATTTATTAAAAAGTATTTCAATCGTGAATGCACGTGCTAATACACACGCGTGTGTACTTCAACATACGTAATTGTAATATAGGTACAAATAAATATAAAAACGTGAGTTCTTTGTAGAAGACACCGACTGAGAAAGGTGTAAGTTGCGTGATACGGGTACTATGCAGTTGAACGCTCTTTCTATTCGGTAGTACACTGAGACTTCATGTTTGTATGATGTAGTAAAACACTAGTGAACGTTACTTCTTGTCTTGTCTTTATCTATCTCTAGTCTATTACAGAACCTTTACAACGGTAGTGCGAATAACACGCCTACCTAGTGGCGTAATACATAGAGTAAAATAGAGGGGGGGTGAGCAGAGGGATTTGAAACAGTGGTATGGCTAACGAGGAATAACTATTATGTAAATGGGCTGGCGCGCCCTGTTGTCGCCGTCGTCGTCGTCGTTGTGATCCGCCGATGGTGTGGCGTATCGCGGTGGTGGCGGCGGGTACCCAGCACTCGCGCTCCTCTCCTCATATGGTGGTGGGGGTGAGTGCGGGGTACTCTGCCGCATCGACAACGGTGGCGTAGAGCGCGACGGCTCGTGCCACGCGCTCCACGGGCAACTGCGCGGTGCCATGGCGTGCACCGGGTGCGTGCAGTTGCGCACCTCGCATGTCGTCTGCGTCACGGCGTCCATGGTCGTGCCGGTGTGCGTAACCGCATGCATAGCGGTGCTAGGCGGTGGTCGGCGAACCGTCGACCGACTCCATACGTCGGACTGAGGGCGCCCGCGTCCACTTCCCACGAAGGCTATCGGGACCGGCGCCCCGGCGCCGGGAGGTGGTGGGGTCGCGCCAAGCACGGGGCCGAGCCCCGATCCGCGAGCGAATGCCTGCAACTGGCGCCGCCCTGCCATCCGTCCGGTCTGCGGCGGCCAGGTCGGGATTCTCCGGCGCGTGTCGTCGGCCGCGGCATCCTCCACGACCTCTGAGATGGGTTGATATGCTGGCGAGTCCATTGCGTCTGCTGACGTTTGTCGATGATCGGTGAACACTGCATGGCGGTGAGGGGAGAAAGGTCCGTAGCTGCAGCTTAGGTACGGATAGCATGAAGGTAACGAATCAGGGTAACGTTTATAATAAGGCATTAGGCCTTTTACAATCTCAATTTTTACAAGTTCCATTTACAATTGATATAAATTGGTGGTTTTACTCAAAGCTTTCAATTACGCGTTTAACCAATATATCCTCGAATAATATTTAAATAGTAATAATTAAAGAAATATCATGAATGAAAAATCAGTATGAATAGTATGTCCAAACACAGGTCGCATCAGGCGTGTACGTATAGCTCTGCGCACTTCGTGGTATGCGTAACTGGAGATCGGTAACCACTTAATCGCTCGCTGCTCGACGTTGCCTTGAAAACATGTCGATTCTCCATGTCCTCTGTTTATCCGGTTACGGCGCGGCGATTGAAACTGAAAAAATATTTTATGTGCATGAAATTAATATGAAATTCGACAACGAAAGGCGGATAGCATTGATTCATCGCACAGTATCGACATCTAGCATCGAGCGTATTTAAAGCTCTCTTCTACTCGTATCGTATTAATATTCGTAATCTTTGACCCCTGTCCCTGGCGTAAACGCAGCTTTTTCATTATCGAGCCCCCCACTCTGCTTGGATTTTCGGTCTTGCTTAATCGGAGATGAACATCGACGTCTATCGTTAAGTGCGATCGCACAGGGATGGGCGGCGTGTTTGTGGACGCAGCCTGGTTCAAACAAACAAAATCTAACTGGGGAGGGAATGACGGGTCTTTGTGCATAAGAGATTCATTATTTCAGCTTTAAGGAATGCGATGTGACAGGATGGGCGGAGCGGATGCGTTAAAAGCGCATGCGTATAGACGGTGTGCGATGCTATGTCAGTTTCGACTATGTTGACCACGCGCAACGTCGCAGGATTACTACGCTCGACGAATGACGAATAGCCGATACTTTAAACAGCGGAGGGAGAGAGAGAGAGAGAGGGAGAGAGAGCGTGGAGAGAGGGAGAGAGAGAGAGAGAGAGGGGAGAGAGATGGTGTGTGTGCGGCGGTGCCGCGGGTCGGGCGTGCGTGTTGTCGTGTCTCGTGCGCGTAGTGTGCGGTGTGTGCGTGCGTGCTCCGCGCGCGCGGGGATTTCTGTG